TCTGGCCGTCCCTCCGGAAACTGCGCCGAAGCCCCACCCTCCCTCCGACGCCGAACCGGAACTCGCGCACCTCCCCTCCGAGTGACTGTCCAGTGCCTAGGTCCAGACCTCCTCCATGTCACGGTCGGTCCCCTTCCTAGGACTCCGCGGGTGTGTCCCCGATACCTGCCACTCCTCACACTCTGCCTGCCTCTTGGATCATCTAGACCCCCCCCCCCCCGGTCTCAACGGTCGTGTTCCCACAGGCCTGTGCGCCTTCGGCGGTGGACCTCCAAACAAAAGCTTGCTAGTTCAACCAGACTTAAGCACGCTTTCCATCCAGAACTTCACATCAGAACCTCAGTTGTCCAAGGGTTTGGGAAGTTTTTTTCTGGAGTTTGCTGCCGAAGCCTTTTCTCCAAATAACAGACATTGCCAGGAATCACCAAGCCTTCCTCTTTTGCCCTCCCTCTCGGGCAACAAGGTCAACTTTACGTGACGTGGCCAATACACTGACGCCTCTATCACTGACCCCCCCTGGTCCAACCCACTTGCTGCTGGGAACTTTCCCTCCCAGCCTCCCACACGTCTCTGCTGGTGTGGCTGTGGGGCGGGGCCGCATGCCTCAGCTGGAGTTCCCAGCTTCCCTGACTCACCCAAACAGCATGAGTACCTGAACGGTAGTATGCCAAAGCCCTGCGGTGAGGGGGTGGGAGTGGGGTAGAGGTTGGACAGGAAGAACTTCGAGTGGAGTGCAGCTCAGAACCCGAGAGACTGCTCTCAGGAGCACTCCGGTCCTGGACAACCCTCAGAGGAGGAAACAACCCACCCTTTTGGCCTGGTGAGGGGCACGCATTCTTTGGAGAGAAAGAAATTCAAACCCAGTTGCTACTGTTGTAGCACACAGAGCCTCACACTTAGCAGGGGCTCAATGGTCATACGTTTTAATATGGAGTGGCAGAAAAGCATGTCCGAAAAAACACATTGCTTTATTTTGAGACAAAGAACATTGTATAAAAAAACTCCAGTTGTAGAAATCAGGACAGACACACAGCAACTTATATACAGATACTGTACACGTGGGCCCTGCCCTTTAGGCTACACTCTAGGCAGAATGTACACATGGGCACTGCCCTTACAGCTACACTCTAAGAACAGGTTGGCACAGCCCCCCTGCTGGCACAGCTCTGGGGAGTGCTGCCCCAGGATGGGAGAGAATGCAGTACCTGGCTACAAACTTCTCTGTGGCAGCTCCACAGATGAGGTCTTGCTGGGAGATGCTGGGTCAGCCCAAGCATGCTGCCTCTCCTGTACCTGGCTCCCAAGCAAGAAACTGTTTCTTGCTTTTCCTTTAGTCAGTTCATCTGGGCATCCTGGCTGTCTTCTGAAGGGGGCATCTTTGCCAAGCTTTGCCCATCCACGTGGCCCCTTCCAGCTCAGCTCCCACTGTGCCTTAAGGGACCATGTCTGCACAGCTTGTTTCTTTGGCTTAAAGGCAGGAATGGTGGGAAAAGACTGTCTCCACTTATTTCTCCATCCCTCCGAGGTGAAGGTGGGGATGGCACTGCCGGGCTGGTTGGCCTCCTTCCAGTTGAAACCCTTAATACTGACCCGTTTTGAGGCTGCTAGGTGACAGCTTGTGCCTGTGGTGGGAGTGGTTCCCAGGGATGGGGGCTCTGAAAGTGGCCCCAAGACAGGTTTGGAGTGCCTGTCCCTCTCTTCAGCCCAGTTCCAATCCTTAAGGCCAGGTGTGGCATACACCTTCACGGGGTTTGCAGCAGCAGAAGTGGTAGGAGCAGCACAGTCCAGGCAAGTGGGAAGAGGCGTGGGGCGGCACTGTGACCGATGCTATGTAGAACCCGCACCTCTGGGTCATCTGCAAGGTGAGAGGGCAAAGGCCGCCAATGTGAGTGACTCCACTATTTGCACTGGCCCTCAGCCCAACAGGATTCCCTCAGCCTCTGCCTGGTAAAGGAGCCACCTCCTGTACCCAACCTCTTCAAGCAGACCCCTTCCTGTGCCCCAGGCCCAATCTGCTCCAGCTACCCACCTGCTGCAAGTCTCTTCTCCTGTGGATTGTCATGGGCCTGAGGACTGTGAGCTGAAAGACAAGAGTGGTAGTAGATCAGGTACTGTATCAAAGAGGCAGAGAGCTGTGAGTGTGAGGGGCTGGGCTGCAAGACTTCTATACCATCCCAGATCACCAGACCACCCAGCATAGAGATGGAGGAAGGAGGCCCACAGGGCCCTGACACTCACTGATTTTGCCATTGACAGTCACTTTCAACCTCAAGCAGCGGTCTTCTTGCTGGTGGATGGGTTTGGCTGCAAGATAAGCCCACAGGAGGTTAAGTAAGAAACCTTTGGTGGAAGAAAATGTAAGCCCAAATTCCCCTTGCCCTGTTTTCTCAGCTCCCTACTCAATTTCATTTTCCTCCCTCTAATCTTGATTCCTACCCTCCTTAGTTTTTGCTAACTTCCTGCCCAGTGTTCAGCCCAGCCTCCCATTCTTTGGAAATAACCCTCAGCTTTGGCAGTGGTGACAAAAAGAACGTAGACACTGCCCGTCCCCACATTTTATCCTTCACTTCTCCGAGTCTGAATATGTTCCTCTTGCCTGGGCCACTTAATACTACTCCTAGGCCGGGTGTGGTGGCTCACACCTGTAATCCCAGCACTTTGGGAGGCTGAGGTGGGCGGATCACGAGGTCAGGAGTTCGAGACCAGCCTGGCCAGCCAATATGGTGAAACCCCGTCTCTACTAAAAATACAAAAATTAGCCGGGCATGGTGGCACATGCCTGTAGTCCCAGCTACTCAGGAGACTGAGGCAGAAGAATCAATTGAACCTGGGAGATGGAGGTTGCAGCAAGTTGAGATCATGCCACTGCACTCCAGCCTGGGCGACAGAGCGAGACTCCGTCTCAGAAAAAAAAAAAAAAATATATATATATATATACACACACACACACACACACACATATATATATACTACTACTGCCTAGCCCCCACTGACTGAGTCCTAGATCCATTTTATACAAAGCTGATTTCATAACTTTTTTTTGAGATGGAGTCTTGCTCTGTCACCCAGGCTGGAGTGCAATGGTGTGATCTCGGCTCACTATAACCTCACACCTCCTGAGTTCAAGTGATCCTCCTGCCTCAGCCTATTGAGTAGCTGGGACTACAGAGGTGCGCCACCACACCTGGCTAATTTTCGTATTTTTTTAGTAGAGTTGGGGTTTCACCATGTTGGCCAGGCTGGTCTTGAACTCCTGACCTCAGGTGATCCGCCTGCCTCGGCCTCCCAAAGTGCTGGATGATCTCATAACTTAAAATCCATCAGGCTGTGTGCGGTGGTTCACGCCTATAATCCCAGTACTTTGGGAGGCCGAGGCAGGCAGATCACTTGAGGTCAGGAGTTCAAGACCAGTCTGACCAACATGGTGAAACCCTGTCTCTACTAAAAATTCAAAATTAGTTGGGTGTGGTGGCAGATGCCTATAATCCCAGCTACTTGGGAGGCTGAGGCAGGAGAATTGCTTGAATCTGGGAGACAGAGGTTGCAGTAAGCAGAGATCACACCACTGCACTCCAGCATGGGCAACAAGAGTGAAACTCCATCTCAAAATAATAAAATAAAGTAAAATGAAATAAAACCCATCATTGGCGAGAGCCCTCAGGATAAAGTCCAAACTCCTTATCACTTTTTAGTTCCCCCATGGTCTGTTCTGTCCACCTCTCCAGGCTCACATCTCCTCACTGACTGTATCCTTCCCACTCCAGCCAGGCTGAGCCATAGGAAGTTCCCTGAAGATGTCATGCTCCCTTTGTACGTATGCCTTCATGCCTGGCCAGCTCCTCTGCCTGTCCTAAGCTCTGGGATCATCTTCCCCACTGAGCCTTCTCTGAGCCCCATAGCCTGGCAGGTACCCAGGTCATTTTCCCAAGGCCCCTGTGTTCATGTCTACCGTAGCATACTGTTCTAAGGGTCTGTTAACCTATGTGTGTTTCTTCTCAGCTTCCGTGAGGACAGGGACTCTGTAGTGTTTTATTTATCTCTGTGCTGGTAGTGCCAAGCAGAGTGCCCAGCACGTAGAAGCTCACTCACATTGGGATGTGGATGAATGAAAATAGAATTCAAGATTGGAAGGGGCCCTCTACTGCTGGACTCTGCACCAAGCATGTACCCAAGCATGTACGTGGTGGCAAAAAAAAAAAAAAACAGACACTGTCCCCTCACAGGCACTCACAGATATAGTAGTAGCTGTGTCCTTCTTTGAACTCCTTGCCCAGGGTGAAAGGTGTGAAGCGCTGGAACTTCTCAGACAGCTTCTCTGGGCCATGTTTGGCACTGGGCCGGTTGCACTGCCAGCGGACCTGGTCCTTGGACTGGGGCTGGCACAGCTGGTACTCCTCACGCTCCACCAGGTACAGTATGTACCGCTCCATGGCAGCGTCTGCCACAGAGTGATCCTCATAGTGCGGACAGATGATGTCCACGTAGTCATTCAGCTGCACATGTATGGTGTAGTCCTCATTCCGGAACCTGGGGACACACACGGGGGAAGAAGCAGGGGGTCATTCAGAAGCCGGGCCAGATCCTTGGACCTCCAAATGTTTACATGACCTCTCACATTTCACACTAGACCCCAAGAGATTTTTCCAAAGTCTCAACTCCCAATATGTACTGATCTTGATGTCTTACATTTCTCTCTGCCATCTCTAAACATTCCCCCGCACCATCACTGTCTCCTGTTGGTCCTTCAAATAGCATCCACTCAGTATCTTTCAGGTACCAAAGCATTTTCCATAACCCGCGTGATGTTTACTCAAGGATGGGCTTCTACCTATTTCTGTAGCTCACTCATCATTCTCTTCTACCCATAAATATTTCCCCAAATCTGTTATACCAGTTGCTCCTTTTAAATGCTGTTAGGCCTCAACCTGAGACCCCACCGGTCTGTCTTGTAATCAGAATCCAGGAAACCCTTTCTCTTTACCATGCTAGCCCCGAGCCCCCAACACATCTGTGTCTTCACCTTCCTTACTCCTCTCACGTTTCCCCGGACCCACTGAGTAGATCTCACATTTCCTAGCTTCACTTTTCCTCAAAAGTGAAGCTAATATACCCGGGCCCACAGATAATGCCCCTAGTCCTTTAAGTTAAATCACTCTTATCAATTCCTTCAGCCCCCCTCAAATCTCCTTTTCTAGCTACTCAAAGTTATACACTGGTCTCCTTTTCCCCTTCTTAGAGCACCCCCAAACATCCCTGTCCTTTTTTCTCCAAAAGCCACATTTCCACCTCCCGCCAGATGAAATGCTGGAGCTCTGGGCTTGAAACAGCCTCTCCCCTCTCCTCTCCTCTCCCCTCCTCCCAAGGTGGAGCCAGCTCCCCTCCCCTAGTTCATTCCCCCTGGCCCCACCGGCTCCAGCCTGACTGCCCACCAGCCCCTCCCCACCAGCCCCAGACACCTGGCTCCAGCCTGGGTGGGGTCCCAGTAGGGGGAAAAGTGCTCCCCACAACCCTTGAAGCTGCTGAGTTTCTCTAATTCCCCCAGGCACTGCCAGCTAGAGACTCAGCAGAATTAGCGTCAACTTGCTTCGAACCGAAAGCACTGGCCACGGCTGGGAGGGCGAGGAAGGAGTCAGGTGGAGAGGACTCTGAGATGGGCACCCACTGCCCAATCAGCATGACCCCAGAGAGGCCAGGCTTTGCAGTAGCACGCCAGCGCCCAAACTGGGCTTACCAGGCCCCTCCCCCACCCTGGGGAAAAGAGAGAGAGGAGCAGAGAGAGGCTTTTAAAATTCCTCTCTGGAGAGATAAACATAGAAGCCATTTCGGAACAGGTATTTCAGCTCTGGGCCTGGCGTCTTTCCCTCATTCCCGTGACGAGCACTGACTCATTCCTCATCCACCTCTGCTACCCGCCCCAGCACTCATGAGAACCTGTGAAAATTTACCTTGTCAAATGTGGACAGCCCCTAGGACCCCAGGAGGGCACAGCGCCCACTCACCCCCAACACTGTCCTCCAAACAAAGGCAGCCAGCAGGTCGGAATGAGGGGCCTGCCCTCCAGCACGAGGGAGGCTGGCGCCCTTCTCAGCATGCTGCCCCCGCCTGAGGCCTGGAGATCCCAGGGCTGCTGCCCACTGGCCTGAGTCACCCATGCCAGCCTCACCTACCCCGTTCATTGTAGCCTCATATTTGCCCCCACGCTGGGCCCAGCTTGGCTGCCTACGGACTCTACTCTGGACTGGCATCTCTTTAGTCCTGGGTATGATAGGGTGTGTGTGTGTGTGTGTGTGTGTGTGTGTGTGTGTGTGTGTGTGTGGCCAGAGGGTCACCCATCAGCCCCCTCTCCTGGGGGTACAGTCTGCTCGACTTAGCCTTCATTTGACTCTTGTTCCCCATCTGGGAAAGGGGGCAGTGGCGTCAGGGAAGGCGGGGAGGTGGGTAAGGAAGAGGCTCCTTCCTGAAAGAGAGGAAACTTGGGAGCTTGGGAACGGAAAAGGCCAGGGTCCCCCCCTCCCTACTCATGGCTTCCTGTCCCCTCCTCCTTCTTCAGTCAACACCTGGAATGGGCATAAACAGGGACTTTGCTCTCTCCCATACTAGGGCAAGATGCATCGGGTCAAGGAGGCAAAGCACAGGGAGCGGGTGGCAGAGGGCTGGCTGGGCCTCCCCAGCATCCATGTGCAGGAGGGCATTGCCCTCTGGGGTTGGCAGCTGGCTGTTCTCTCCCCGACCCCAACAAGCCACAGACAACAGACTGCCTCACCAGACGATGCCACAGGGTCAGAGGAAGCTGGCACAACATATTTCTCAAGGGGAGTGGGGGGCAAGCTCGCTAGGGCTGAGAGTGGCTAAGCCGGTGAGATGGCTTTGGTGATACCAAGCTGCCCAGTTCTCTCCTCGTCCTCCCTACCACCCTCTCCTATATTCCCACAAATATTGTTCCCATAACTTCGGAAAACTCAAGGGCAAGAACAAAGGGGCCGACAGAGTCTTCCTCCCAGTACCATTTGCCTCACAGCCCTAAACCTGCCCAGGAGAAATTAACTCCTTCCTGCCCAGAGCCTTCTGTAATCCCTTTAACCCCTTCTGTTCCTTCTGAAGCTTTCCCATGATCTCCCTCTCCCAGCTCTTCAATTTTACTACTTGAGAGCCCCATAAACAGGTGATTCCCTCAACCTACCCATGCACAGCATGTGCCTCACTCGTGCCACCCCAAAAGACCCCTAGTGGGGGACTTTCCAGGTTTGCTTTAAATACAGGGTGAATGCATAATGAATGCCTACAGCCCAGCTCTCTCCTGAGAGGTCCTTTCAGGGTTCCCTTCAGCATTCTGCGCACTCTTGATGTCACACCAGGTACCTGTCAGTGTGGTCAGATGCCCAAAGGACACACAAGGAGGGGCGTGGAGGCTTTCAACGTGGGGGGGACCTAGAACAAGGGCCCTGGCTGCCAGGGGCGAAGTCTATGCTGGAGGCAGGAACTGCCCAGCATAGGTCCCTCACTTCAGAGTAATAGGGGTACCAGAGAGAAGGAAGGGAAGGGCAGATATAAGCCCATGCAAGTAGACACGAGCAGGTTCCTGCCCCGGG